CCGAATATACCTCCTGCAATTCAAGGTATCTTTCGCTGGAATTGTGCAGCACAAAGAAAGAAAAAAAAAAAGAAGCCAAAACTTTTTTTGAGTTGTTGACGGATACAACGGGCGTGTTCTTCCGCTATCTGAACCAGCGTCTCCTGTCTGAATTCAAATCACTCTACAGCCACTCTACAGTCGAGCAAGAGAACAGGTAGTTCTCGACTCACAACAGTTCGTCTAGTGACCATTCAAAGTTACAACAGCGCTGGAAAAAAGTGACATGACTGTTTTTCACACTTACGACCGCTGGAGCATCCCCATGGTCACGTGATCAAGATTCAACCCTTGGGAATTGACTCACATTTATGACTTTTGCAACCTTCTGACGAGCAAAGTCAATGGGGAAGCCAGATTCATTTAACAGCCGTGTTACTAATTTAACGACAGCAGCGATTCACTGAACAGCTACAGCAAGAAAGGTCGTAAAATGGGGCAAAATGTTTTTAGCAACGGTCTCAATTAGCAACAAAAACTTTGGCCTCAATTGTGGTCGTAAGCCGAGGACTAGCTGTATTGCCTAAAGAAGAATGAGAGGGACAGGTATTCAGCTTTGAACCAATCTTTTAAATAGTGGAGTGGAATTTAGCTTGAGAACAACCAACTTTCTGAAAATCTGACACCCTCGTCGAGTGTATATGTTGTGTTAATTCATTGTTAACACAACTATGGCTTGTTGAACAACTCACAGAAGTGCCTATTGCGTCTGCTGAATAGTGACCGCCCGAAGTTACAATGGCTGTTGGAAAAAAGCGACTTATGACCATTTTTCACACTTACGACTGTTGTGGCATTTCCCCAGGATCATGTGATTTCCATTCGGACGCTTGACAATGGACTCACATTTATGACGGTTGCAGTGTCCTTCTTTGTGACCTTCTGGCAAACAAAGTCAAGAGGGAAGCCAGCTTCACTTAACCACTGTGTTACTAATTCAACAACCGCACAGGGATTCACTTAACAAACGGTGGCAAGAAAAGTCGTAAAACGGGGCAAATTTATCAAATTTCTCACTTAAGGACATCAGTTTGGGGCTCTATTGTGGTCGTAACTTGAGAATGACTTGTCCTTGTATCTGTGGTGCTGCAGGACTTCTAGAATTTATGTAGCAAGGAAAAATAGCACACATCCTCCGTGTTACACATCCCCAAACTTTGACTTCCACAAGCACGAGAAGAGCCCGAACCTAAAACCAAGAACGACGGTATGGTTCACTTAACAACTGCAGTGATTCACGGAGCAACCGTGGCCGAAAAAAAAGGTCATAAAATTGAACACGGCTCACTCTAACAACCTCCTTGCTTAGCCGTGGAAATTCTGCTCCCAACAATGGTTGTAAAACAAGGATGATCTGTTGCTTGTCCTTCTTTTTCTTTTTTGACCCGTGATCGAAAACTCATTTAATTTTGTGTCTGAATCTTTTTATTTCCTCTCTTCAGTTGTTCCAAATAGGAGAATCTGGGGCTGTTTTTCAGAGTTTAATATATATATATATAATATATATATATATATATATATATATATATTTCCCCCCAACAATGACCTACTGGAATAGCAGAGAAAGAATAAAAGGAAAGATGCGGGAGAGTTTGGGAAATGAAAGGGGAGAGCGAGGTAGAGAAGTTGGCATTCAGAGGTTTTCACAAAAAAAGTGAATGGGGCGAGAATTGGTTTAGAAGAAAGGAAAGTCTGGCATCTTTTTTCCCCTGCTGTAATTGCCTGCTTATCTCCTACTTAGCCATGCTGTTCTTGTGCGCGGCTCCTTCTCTTCCGCACATATATACACTGCTGAACTATTTATAGAATCAGCAGGCGCTTCCGTGAAAGCCAATCAGGCTTTTTTATACATGCTTAGGAGGTTGTGTTTCTAGCTGCAGCCGTGTAAGTAACAGGGCTCCCCCCTTAACCCACCACACCAAAAAGCTGGTTTTGCAAAAACAGATATTGGCATCCAAACCCTCCCTCCTTCCCTCCCTTCCTCTCTCCATTCCTTCCTTCCTTCCTTCCTTCCTTCCTTCCCTTCTTCCCTTCCCTTCCCTTCCTTCCTTCTGCATTTTTTGTTTCCTTTCTTTCCTCCCTCCCTCCCCCTTTCTTCCTTCCTTCCTTCCTTCCTTTCGCATTTTTTGTTTCCTTTCTTTCCTTCCCTTCCTTCTGCATTTTTTGTTTTCTTTCTTCCTTCCTTACTTTCCTCCCTTCCTCCTTTCCTTCCTTCTGCATTTTTATTTTTTCTTTTCCTCCCTCCCTCCCCCTTCCTTCCTTCCTTCCGCATTTTGTTTCCTTTCTTTCTTTCCTTCCTTCTGCATTTTGTGTTTTCTTTCTTTCTTCGTTACTTTCCTCCCTTCCTCCTTTCCTTCCTTCTGCATTTTTTCTTTTTTCTTTTCCTTTTTCCCTCCCTCTCTCCCTCCTCCTCCCTCCCTCCCTTCCTTCTTCCCTCCCTCCCTTCCTTCCTTCCTTCTGCATTTTTATTTTCTTTCTTTTCCTTCCTTCTTTCCTACTTCCATTCCTTCCTTCCTTCTGCATTTTTTGTTTTCTTTCATTCTTCCTTCCTTTCCTCCCTCCCTCCTTCTACCCTCTCTCCCTCCCTTCCTTTTTTCCTACTTCCATTCCTTCCTTCCTTCTGCATTTTTTGTTTTCTTTCATTCTTTCTTTCCTTCCTTCCTTCCTTCCTCCCTCCCTCTCTCCCTCCCTCCTTCCCACCCTTCCCTCCTAATTCCCTCCCTTCCTCCCTTCCTTCCTTGAGTTGGCCATGGCGAGTTGTCCAAGACCCTCTTCCACATCCACTTCCCTTGTTGATATTTCGAATCATCTTCATCCAACAGACTCCATGGGCCAATATTAGAACTTTCGCACAACAAGACAGTTTGCTTAGACAACAGCTACCTCATTAATAAAGTGATATCACTTTGTCGCTGGTTAACATGATGCAAGTTCTGGAAAAAGAAGAAGGGGAAAAAAAGAAGCTAACCTCGTAACAGCCGGATATAGCAACCAAGGGACTGATTTAAAACACAGTTCCCTTTTCTTGGTGGCAACTAATTAATAGTGCAGCAACACCCTGGAGACACATAATAGGAAATAGGATTTTCTCTTTTATGATGTCTGTTCTCTGTCTTGAGCAGGTCAGTAGCGATGAAACGCAGTTAGCCATCTGTAGCAGCTGTAGTGCCGTCTGTTGGGAAGTTACAGTCTGCTGTAGATCAGGATTAACGAAATCGGTGACCTGGGGTGTGCATTTGGGTGTGTGAACGATCTTTAATGGAATATAGGAACGATATTTGAAAGATAGAAGAACTTGCAGAAGAAAACAGTTGATTATAAGCTAAGGCAGTGATGGCAAACCTTTTCCGGACTTAAGGCCCAAAACGCACTCAAACCCCCATAATTTATTTATTTATTTATTTATTGGTTCGATTTGTATGCCGCCCTTCTCCGGAAACTCAGGGCGGCTTACAATGCGTTAAGCAATAGCCTTCATACTTTTGTACTGTATATACCTGCTTAGTAGGGCTTTCGGGGGGCCCCTAAGCGGTGTTCTTTTTTATAAAAAGTCGTATCATTGATATGATATGGAATATGATAGATATGGCAGACAACTATTCATCTTCCAGCCGGACGGATTTGTTAGCCTGCGTTGAGAGAGAAACTTTTTGCCGGGGCTGCTGGTGCTCCTAATAAAGGAACCTTGGAGTTCACTTCAGAGGGTTTGTCGTCTTTGGGGACAACTGGGTCAGAAGAGGTATACTGAACAGGTCACTTCAATCTGGGAAGAATATTTAAAGAAACATGTATTTAAAAAAAAAAATCAGCAGATGAAACATTCAAATCTAGGGTGTTCCATGCTATAATAAAATATTTCTTTCATAGAAAATATGTAACTGAGCATTACGAATAGTGGTATTCCCTTTTCATTTGCTGTATTCTGTTGTCTCACCTCAGAAAATTATTAGCATCCTTTGCCACCAGGGTTCAGAAGAACTGTTGAAAAAGTTTTTTTTTTTTTAAAGATGAATATAAAACTGAAGTGGCTTTTAGAAAGAGTTCTTTTGAGAGAGTAGCATTTATCCTGTAAATGCCCTTTTTATTTTCAAGGTTTCAGGCCCTGGATATTGTGCAAATGTGTTAAGTTGATTTTTTTTGTTGTTGTTTTAGATAAAGGCTGCAAATACTGTTGGTGGTGTGACCCAGGCCCAAGTAGTTAGTATTAAATACAAACAGTGCGAAAACAAACAGACTTTATTAGAACAGCTGAGAACTAACTCATTCTCAGCGTAGTCCAAACTAAATTAAAGCAAATTCTTCAAAACACCTTTCCTCAGTTTATCACCAAACTTGGGATAATTAGGCAAACTGCCAAAGGCTTTTCTTGGCAAAAGTTCAGAAACAGAAGACGCCGACAAGAGATGAATACAGTGAAACAAGAAGCAAATCTCTCAACGTTGTTTTCCAGCAAAGAGCCCAAGAGCTGTTGCTGGTCTTTTAAGCCTTATGGGAGGGGCCAATCATCTCTTGGCCTTACTTCCGAGTCGTCCTTTTTGCTTTAGCTGCTCTTGCCTTCTAGCAGCTCTTCTAATGCGTGCACTAGGAACAGGCTCCTCCTGTTCCTCTGCCTCTCTACTGGCAGCCTCTGGAGGCTCCGAAGTCCACGCATCACTGCCCAATGGCCCTGGCCCCATCTCTGCCTCCGACGCAGAGCCCTCATCTGGGCCTTCCCCAGCCTCCAGGACTGGCCCATGTTCTTCCTCAGCCTCATCGCTGTCCGACTCACTGCCAGCTCCACAGGCTGCTGACAGACCACAACAGTTGGTGACACTGGATGCTAAATGTTCTGTGTCGATTTTGTGATTCCTTTTGAGTCAAGTAGCATAATGGCCTATGTATAACATGTCCATTTTGACATATAAAGGCAAATATCCCTTTTGTTCTATTTATACATTTCTTCTCTGGTTGTTTCCCCTCAGTGTTCTTGATAACAATCCTGGTGGTGGAAGGCATCGCTGTGGCTCAAAAAACACAAGGTATGGTGTGAGAAATTCTATGAGGGAAAAGCGTGCAATCACATTTTCTGCGTCGAACGTTCGTTTAAAAAAACAACAACAAAATAAGCCATTATCGAAAGACGTTTTGTTTGATCAATTTTGTTTGATAAATTCAGAAAGGTATAATAGAATGGTCAAGTCTGTAAAATCTGCTGGATTAAAACATCGAGTATTTCAACGGGTTGTCCAAATCGCAGTTAATGGGGGGAAAAAATGAAATAAGCACATTTACTGTGATTTTTCCCTTGCTTAACCAGCACATAATGGAAAATAGGCAGAAATAAGGGAGAATATGTGGCCCCAATACTCGTCTTCGGCTCCCTTATCTGTAGGGTAGCTAATTCAGTGAATCACAGTTTAAGAGTAAGATCTCTTAATTCAACAGATTTTCATAGAATGTAGACATGAGAGGCTAATTAACTTTTCACAAAGCAAGAATGGCACATTGATGGATCTCTGAAAAAGAAGCAGCCGGATTGGGATGGGGGAAGAAGCCCATGTTGAGTAATTAATTTTTTAGAAGGCTTTCGTGTAAGTCGGGTTGACATTTTAATATATCATATGATGTTTCTATGCAAGGGTATCGATAGCCATGGTGGTTTAAACATCCGTCCCTTAAAGCAGATGCAGGCAAAGTATTTTCTATCTAAGACAATGCCACATTCCTTGGGGTAGTTTCAGGGGTGGGGGAGCAAGTAGGAATGTTGAGTGGCAAGAAAGAAGAGAGAGAGAGAGAGGGAGAGAGGGGGGGAAAGGAAGGAAGGAAGGAAGGAAGGAAGGAAAGAAAGAAAGAAAGAAAGAAAGAAAGAAAGAAAGAAAGAAAGAAAGAAAGAAAAAGATGAACATTGGCTCAAAGGTAGGTGTGTCCACTCATGTTTTCCTATTTTTAACTTTCTGACTTTCTTCCCGGTTGCTCTCTCAGGGAAGCAGGCTACAATAAACTGCTTTTGCCTGATATCGATTGGGAAACTGCCAGCTAGGCTGGGAGGAGGCGTGAAGAGAGGACCTAGTTTGGAATCCTTGCGTAGCTGCAAGCAGCATAAGCTTGACTTGCCCCTAGATCTATGTAGCCTTGTCTGGTCAATCTCAGGGGAAGGCAAGCTGTCTGGAGACATTCTTGTAACATAGGTGGTAAAGAATAAAATTACTGATTTTTCCTCTTCATGAGCAGCTCTGGCAATATCTGGCAATATATGTGTGTATGTGTGTATTGTGTGTGTCTCTGTGTGTGTGTATCAAATTTATATTTGCTGATTAAGAAATTGGAGCTGAAAGGTAAAAGGAAAGTAGTATGCTCCCTCCCATTATGGGTTAGACCAGGTGCTTCAATAGAAAAACACTTTATATATAAATATATTGAAAACTGTATTGTCCACACACTTCATTTTACTGAAAAAACAACAGATATACTAGTAGTAATCATAGTAATATACATATTAATTATAGCAATAATTATAGTTATATTAACTTATTTGTAATCATGTTAGTTATACTAGCATGCCTATAGTCATAAATAATGTTCATATTTTACATACACATCACAATAATCTTTCTTCCTCTAACTTCTACCTCTTATATCTAATCACTGATAAAACCTATCCCATGTTGAATAATACTCTGTATCTCCTTTATCCTTTATTTTTAATGTCAATCTATCCATCTCTGCGCAGTCCAATATTTCCCAGAATTAAGTTTTCATCTGGTGGCATGTTTACAATTTTGGCATTTTTTAACACTTTCCTTTTCATGTACCATTTCAATGTACTATCAGATCCTTTCATGTGTACTATCAATTCTGTCCCCATTTAATTTTCCCGAGGTCAAAATCAGCTAGATGCTGCCATCTGCTTGTGGTCTATGAAGAGATTGTTTATTCAAAACTTGGGGGGAAAAAACATGATTTTACCGGCCTGGAATCTACATCAACAGACTGTCTCCTCTGTTTGATGCTACCAACCCACACAGCTCATTAGGCTGAAGTGGGCTGATGTTTGTGGAGATTTGCGAGAACAACGTTGAATTGTGTTTTTCTCTTTTTTTCCAAAAGTTGGGCGGGATCTTGGAAATAACCGCATGGGATCTACTCAGTGTAGTGACTGGGTTCGAACAAGCAATGGAGGCCACTTTGCTTCATTCAACTTTCCTAACTTCTACCCACCCAACCAGGAATGTGTCTATATTTTAGAAGGTATGGACCAGTCTTTGTTTTTTTTTAATGTCTCATGACTGAAAGTGTGAATGAATTACACGTAGACCATGTGGAACAGGGGTGTCAAACTGGCGTGCACAGACCACGCCCACCCCAACTCTGCGAAGGGAAAAAAACATTGCTAACATCACGTGACGGCAACGTGATGCCACGAGTTTGACACCCATGATGCGGAGTAACTAAACAAAATGCACTGACTCAGGGATGTTGACTTTATGTTCTTTGCAACAGCCTGTTACGAATTTCAGTTACCCTCAACGACAAACATTATGTCTATATCTTTCCATGCAACAAGCAAACAACCCAGAACTAAATATTGTATTAGTTTTAAATTAGTTTAGTTCGAAAAGAACTTGGTTTTTAGGATCGTCTTGAACAATGCTCAGCAGATGCTTCCTTCACTGGAAGCTCCACATTTTATTAGAGGGCAGAGAAAACTACATGCACTTCAAAAGTCTTGCCTTTAAGCTCACCTTTGAATTAGCGATGCGATTGTGTAGCCTTTTCGTTAACAATATACAAAAAGAGACAGGACAGAAGAAAGCTGACTTCTCGGCCTTGGCAACTTAATAAGTTGTGTAGACTTCAATTCCAATAGCTGGCTGGAGAATTCTGGGAGCTACACACCTTAAAGTTGCCAAGGTTGAGGAACACTGCTCTAGAGAATATTTAAGCTACGTGTAAGCTGCAGGTAAGTTGGGTGGAAATAACTTCTGGTTGTTAACTCAATCACTGAGTCATTAAACATTGCACTCAGTAAAGAGGTTGTTCTCACCTTATGACCACAGGTTGGGAACCCCTGATCTATCATATATCTCTCTATCTATTCTTCTGTCTATCTACAATATCTATCTATCTCTGTCTATCTGTGTGTCTATCTATCTTCTATCTATCTATCTTCTGTCTATCTACAATATCTATCACTGTCTATCTGTCCATCTATCTATCTATATTTACCTCTCTCTCTCTCTCCAACCATCCACCCACCCACCTATATCTATCTATCTATCTATCTATCTATCTATCTATCTATCTATCTATCTCTATCTGTCCATCTATCTGTCTATATTATATCTATCTATCTATCTATCTATCTATCTATCTATCTATCTATCTATCTATCTCAAAAGCTCTGGCACAGGGGTTAAATGCAGTATTGCAGGCTGACTCTGCCCACTGTCAGCAGTTCGATCCTGACCAGCTCAAGGTTGACTCAACCTTCCGTCCTTCCGAAGTTGGTAAAATGAGGACCCAGATTGTTGGGGTCAATATGCTGACTCTGTAAACTGCTTAGAGAGGGCTGTAAAAATACCGTGGAGCCAGTGTTGGGATTCAACCAGTTCGCACCACTTCGGGAGAACCGGTTGTTAACTTTCTGAGCAGTTTGGCAAACTGGTTGTTGGAAGAAATCATTAGGGCAGAGAACCGGTTGTTAAATTACTTGAATCCCACCACTGTGTGGAGCGGTATATAAATCTAACTGCTATAGTTATTGCTATTAATATATCTTTCAGCAAGCGGCTTTCCTTCATTGCAAGTTACATTGATCCGTATTCTTTCTGCTTTGCTCCAGCTGCCCCACGGCAAAGAATAGAGTTGACATTTGACGAACCGTTCTTCGTCGAGCCTTCCTTCGAATGTCGATTCGATCATCTGGAAGTTCGAGATGGACCTTTTGGGTTCTCTCCGCTCATCGATCGCTATTGCGGTCTGAAAAGCCCGGCCCCGATTAGGTCAACAGGAAGATTTATGTGGATCAAGTTTACTTCGGATGAGGAATTGGAAGGACGAGGATTTAAAGCCAAGTATTCATTTATACCAGGTAGAAATCTCCTATTTTTCTTACTTAGTGTTGTACTGATTCCGCTAGAATACTATTGGATTTCTTGTTCTGCTTGCCAAGACACAATTTATCCTATTTATTCTACTCAGGGTTGTTTTACACTCATTTTGCTGAGAGATGCAGATAGAATCTAGAGCAACATTTTACCTGTTAACCTTGTATGGTTCTTGACGTCAGAGAGGCAACCTTGACATTTCAACTTCTCATATTATAAGCAGGAACCTCAAATCATGATTGTGAACGTAACTAGGTTTATTCTGAAAAAATATTAATTTTAAGTGGGAAAAATACACAAAATCCCCTCAACAAATAAGATGAGAGTCTTAGGAAGGGCATGTCAGCTGTCTCATTGTTTTTTATTTTATTTTAATACAATCCATCTTCCATTAAACAGTGTGTCTTCTGGGTACAAATATCTTGTGCAATAACAATTAAAATTTATAGCCATGTTTATCTATTCTTAACTTAATATTGATATACATTGCATGTCTAATACTGTAACAATTCTCTTCGTATTTAATTTTATTAATACATTTTCTGTATTTCCCTAATCAACTTTTATTTCTAACTTTCATATTTATTCTCTAGCCATCGGTAAAATAGTTCCCATACAATATAATATTCAGTTTGTTCCTTCTCTTCGATTGCAAGTGTTAGCCTAATCATTTCTGCACATTCTAATATTTTCCTAATCACATTCTCATCCATAGGAATTTCTTCACTTTTCCAATTTTGTGCAAATACAATCCTAGCTGCAGTTATTACATGAATCATCAAATATACATTCTCTTTACTATAAGCTTCTGGTAAAAATCCCCAGCTGATTTGTCTTTCAACATCTTTGCCAGTCTTGCCGGCAGAAAGTGCCATATTGTTGAGTTCCTCTAGTGATATACAAGTAGTCCTTGGGTTATGACCACAATTGAGCCCAAAGTTTAGTTTTGCCTCATTTTACAACTTTTCTCGCCATTGTTGTTAAGCAAATCGTTGCAGTTGTTAAGTTGTTATTAAGTGAATCTGACTTTCCACATTGACTTTACTTGTCAGAAGGTCGCAAAAGCGGATCATGTGACCCCGGGATGCTGTAACCGTCATTAATATGAATCCATTGCCAAGCATCTGAATTTGTGATCATGAGGCTGCTGCAATGGCCATAATTGTGAAAAACGGTCCTAAGTCACTTTTTTCAGTGCTGTTGTAACTTTGTACGGTCACTAAATGAACTGGTGAAAGTCAAAGACTCCCTGCATGTCATTGGGAATAAATCACATGTCATTTCTCAGCCCAGCATCCTGGTCTTCTGAACTTTTCTTGTCCCTAGATTATCTTGCTTTCTAATTAAATTTTAGACAGAATAACCTTCTTTTTCTTCCCTTCCTCCTCCTCCTTTCTAGATCCTGATTTCACCCACCGAGAAGGTATTTTAAAGCCCATCCCAGGTATGGAATTACAGCACTACTCTCTTTTGCTTATTAAATTGTAAATCAGGGGTGTCAAACTCAATGCCTCCAGGCTGGATCCAGCCCATGGAATGCTTAGTTCTGGCCCATGAGGCCACCCTTTAAAACAGCGAAGGATTGGCCCGTGGTGTCTTGGCCCAGCCCAGGCTGACTAGGTGCTGATCTACAACCTGGTAGCATGCTATAGGAGGTCATGGCAGCCAAAAATGGAGCTCAGGTGGGCTGTGTGTACCCCTGCCGAGCTTCTTTTTTGCTGGCAGAGTGCTGGAGGAAGCCGTGGCAGCCGAAAACTGATCTCCCCAGCTCCGCCCAGGCCACCACAGGCACCCCCAACAGGATTGACATTGAGCTGGGCAAGCCCACCCTGGCCACGCCCACCCTACCCTGCTCCCCACCCCGAGGTCAAACACAACCAGGAGTGGTATTCACTTACCTTCACTACCGGTTCACAAATGTGAGCGCATGCACCACCTCCACACATGCGCGGGGCCTTCCGCATATGCGCAGAGCATCAAAAACAGGACGTGATGATGTCCAGGCGGGTGGGCGGAGCCTCCTGCAGCCGGCGCTACCAGTTTACCCGAACCGGATAAAACCGGCTGAATACCACCACTGAACACAATCCTGATGTGGCCCTCAATGAAATTGAGTTTGACACCCGTGCTCTAAATCACTTTTATCTCCGGTTTAACCACAAGTTTTGTCTTTCCCATTCTAGATTGCCAATTTGAGCTCTCCGGAGCCGATGGCATAGTACGCTCCAGCCAGGTAGAACATGGAGAAAAAGTCAAACCTGGGGAAGCCGTTGACTGCATATGGACAATTAAGGCGACTCCAAATTCCAAGGTGGGTCTATGGAAGAGTTGGAGTCTAATGGTATCTAATTGCCCGTGTTTTCCCGAAAATAAGACCCTGTCTTTCTTATATTTTTTGAACCCCGAAATAAGCGCTTGGCCTTATTTTCAGGGAGGTCTTATTATTTTGGGGACCATGGAGCAAAACAGGGCTTCTCTTGCCATCTTACCTGATTTCCAGTTCTGTCTCCCTAATCCTAACCAGAAGAAATTGGGCTTATTATCAGGGGATGTCTTATTTTCGGGAAAACACGGTACTTATCGGTATCTGAGAACAGCTGGTTGCTAGGAATAATTGCAAATCGTCATTTCCCCGTGCACAGAAATTAATCATTGCACTGGTGCTTACCGAAAAACCAATCCAGAGTTGACTTCGTAAGCTGCTTCCAGACCAAATGAGTAGGGTTACTATTTGGTATGACAATCCTTCAGCCTTTAGATGCTTTAAAACAAGAGTTCCCAACTTTTCCAGTTTTGCAGACTGGGAGGGGGAAGAGGGGATAGTTCTGTGAGAGTGGCGGGCAAGTGTGTGTACCGGTACAGCTCCGTTTGTACAAGCAGCAGGCATGCACAGCTGCTGCTCGCGCAAATTGAGCATGTGCTGATGTGCCCGCACAAGCAGGGAAGTGCGTGGGCTGGGGACCCCTGTTTTAAAATAGGAGGATATTCTCTGGGTTTTTGTTTTTACTGTAGTCCCAGTATACAGGCATACCTCGGAGATATGGCAGGTTCGGTTCCAGAATATCACAATAAACAAATCACACAATTGGGGGGGGAGCGTTCTCAGTATATATCAAAGTGTGTTTACACTATACTGTGGTCTGCTAAGCATGCGATATAGCATTAGGTCTGGAAAAAACCGATGTACATCCTTAATTAATAAATACTTTATTGCTAAAGGTAAAGGTAAAGGTTCCCCTCGCACATATGTGCTAGTTGTTCCTGACTCTAGAAAGCGGTGCTCATCTCCATTTCAAAGCCGAAGAGCCAGCGCTGTCCGAAGACGTCTCCATGGTCATGTGTTCGGCAGGACTAAACGCCAAAGGCGCACAGAACGCTGTTCCCTTCCCACCAAAGGTGGTCCCTATTTTTCTACTTGCATTTTTTACGTGCTTTCGAACGGCTAGGTTGGCAGAAGCTGGGACAAGTAATGGGAGCTCACCCTGTTACGTGGCGCTAGGGATTCGAACCACTGTACTGCCGACCTGTCGATCAACAAGCTCAGCATCTTAGGCACTGATCCTTTATTGCTACAAAATGCCAAATCATGATTTGAGTCTTCAGTGATTACAATCCTTTTGCTAGGTGGAGGGTCTTGTTGTTGTTAGTTGCGAAGTTGTGTCCGACCCATCGCAACCCCATGGACAATATTCCTCCAGGCCTTCCTTTCCTCTACCATCCCCCGGAGTCCATTTAGGCTCACGCCGACTGCTTCAGTGACTTCATCCAGCCATCTCATTCTCTGCTCTCCCCTTCTTCTTTTGCCCTCAATCGTTCCCAGCATTAGGCTCTTCTCCAGTGAGTCCTTCCTTCTCATTAGGTGGCCAAAGGATTTGAGTTCCATCTTCAGGATCTGGCCTTCTAAAGAGCAGTCAGGGTTGATCTCCTCCAGGACTGACCGGTTGGATCACCTGGGGGGGGGGGTTCTTGTAAAAGATCACAATATTTGCAAAGCACAATAAAGTGAATCACATTCAAACAAGGTAGGCGTATATAAATCTGTCTGTGTAGGAATTGTTGACCTATCTTCTACCTGATAAAACTGATAAAATCATGGAATGCGTCAATCAAGACAGAATTATATTAATTAGACATCATCCCAGTTTGCAGGTGGAGAAAAATGTCCTTTATGCCTGAATAACAGTTTGCCTCCTATTCTACAGTAGAAACGTACAAAATGCCGGCTCGATCTTGTCTTCTTTCTTCTCATAGAATTCTTTTTATGTTTATGAGCGTTCCCTTTAACTTTGGGAGTTCGACAAGGAATTCTATGTAATGAATAGAGAGTTACATAAGGTCTCTTTGCTATTTCAATTATAGCACCTTAGCAATGCAGACTTAATTTCCAGAGGAAGGGAAATAAATTGCTTTGCAGTTTAATCAAGCTTGTTGGGGAAGGGAGAAAAAGATACAAGGATTTGCTTCTGTTCTTCAAGGAAAGCTCCATTTTCTGTTGCAATCAAATTGATTTTTTTGTCCCTCTCTGCCCTAGAAAAAGTATAAAATCTATTTAAGAAGGGAATTGTTTTGGAACATGTGATTATTTTAGCTTTATGCATGAGAGAATGCAGTGATTAGAAATGGCAAGTTGTACACCCAAACACACACACACACACACACACACACACACACACACACTGTGCATCTATTCCTTGTATCTGAATGAAATTTCAGAGTGTAGGGAAGAGCAACAAAGATGATTAGGGGACTGGAGCTCAAAACATATGAAGAACTGTCGCGAGAATTGGGTATGTCTAGTCTAGTGATGGATAAGAAGAGAGCAGCTGGCTGGTGCACATGCACGAGGCAGCCAGCTGAACTTCCGGGTTCCATCACATGCATGCGCGTCAGCCAGCTGGTCTTTGCACAAAGACCAGTGTTGTGGTCTGCCAGCAGCCTGCGGAGCTGGCAGCAAAGTCGGACAGTGAGGAGGCTGGAGAGGACAATGGGCCAGTCCTGGAATCAGGGGAAGACCCAGACGAGGGCTCTGCGTCAGAGGCAGAGATGGGGCCAGGGCCATCTGGGAGCCTCCAGAGGCTGACAGTAGAGAGGCAGAGGAACAGGAGGAGCCTGTTCCTAGTGCATGCATGTGAAGAGCTGCCAGAAGGCAAGAGCAGCTAAAGCAAAAGGGACAACTCGGGAGTAAGGCCAGGAGGTGATTGGCCCCTCCCAGAAGGCTTAAAAGAGCAGCAACGGCTCTTGGGATCTTTGTAGGAAAGCAATGTTGCTACATTGGGGCTTCTTGCTTCTGAACTTTTGCCAAGAAAAGCCTTTGTCAGGATGCCAAAGAAGACAAAGGTTGGTGATAAGGCCGAAGGACTGCTTATGAAGAATTTGTTTTGGATTTAATTTGGACTAAGCTGAGAATGAAGTAATTCTCAGCTGTTCTAATAAAATATGCTTGTTTAGGACTGATTGTGTCTGGTAATAACTACTTGGGCCTAGGTCACAACAACCAGCTAGCTGGCATGCATGCATGCGATGGAACCCAGAAGAGCCGCTGTCAACAGAGTGCATGCCCACAGAGAGGGCTCTGTCTATGTGCCACCTCTGGCACACGTGCCATAGGTTTGCCATCACGGGTCTAATCTAATGAAAAGAAGGACTAGAGGAGACATGATAGCAGTGTTCAAATATCTCAAAATATCTCTGTTCTCCAAAGCACCTGAGTGCAGGACAAGAAGCAAAGGATGGAAGCTAATCAAGGAAAGAACCAACCTAGAACTAAGGAGAAATTTCCTGACAGTGAGAACAATAAACCAGTGGAACAACTTGCCTCCAGAAGTTGTAATTGTTCCAACACTGGAGGTTTTTATGAAGACACTGGACAGCTATTTGCATGAAATATATACTATTTTATATACTATCAGGGTTTATTTATATATACTATCAGGGTTTCCTCCTTGAGTAGGGGGTTGGACTAGAAGACCTCCAAGATCCCTTCCAAATCTATTATTCTGTTCTATTACTCTGTTTATCCCCCACCCCCACCCCAATGTTCTCCCATTGGGCTTTGTGCCATTGAAGGATTCCTTCGTTTCTTTGAAAACTGTTTTCTTCTAACGTTCCACAGATCTATTTGAGATTTCTGGACTATCAAATGGAGCACTCCAACGAATGCAAGAGAAACTTTGTGGCCGTCTATGATGGAAGCAGTTCCATTGAAAACCTGAAAGCCAAGTTTTGCAGCACCGTGGCTAACGACGTGATGCTTCAAACAGGAACCGGGGTGATACGCATGTGGGCGGACGAAGGGAGTCGGTTAAGCCGGTTTCGGATGCTTTTCACCTCATTTATGGATCGTAAGTATATCCCGAAGCCTTCAGTTGGGAAAGACAGTGTGATTGTGTAAGACTTCCTGGAAGGTTTTGGTTTTTTTCTCCTTCCTAACATACTTTGAGATGAACCTGCTTAGAAGAACCTTCTCTAATATGCTAAGCTTTGGAGGCATCGTTGCCCTTAATCAGGGGTGGGCTTCAAAAACCCGGTCAAAACCGGTCTCTGCCCAGTTGCTGGGTGGGCATAGCCTAATGGGCCTTCTATACCATGGGGGGGGCGTTTTTGCCCTACCTGGGCTCCAGAGGCTTTCTTCAAGCCTCTGGGAGGGCAAAAACAGCCTCCCCAGGCTCCAGGGCCTTCCCAACTTCTGGTAGGCTCATTTTTCGCCCTCCCCGAGCCTCCATCTGCGCCTTGCACTTACCTGCATCCAAAATGGGCCACATGGGGACTCCTGGGAGGGGAGGGGAGGGGTGGGTGGGGCCAGCCAGGAGTGGGATTTGGGGGTTCTCCAAACTGCACAGAATCTTAGCTAGAGGTTCTCCTGAACCCCTGCGAATCCCCAGCAGCCCATCCCTGCCCTTAATAAAAGCTCTGTACATTAGACTAAGAACAGTAGCAGGGAACAAGAACGATAATTAAATCTGAAACGATATCTGCATCTTTTCTGATAACTTGGTGACATAATCATCTTATTGCTCTACCCACAATCCATAGATGATGGCTCATAATTAAAAACACAGATCGTGCAAAGCCAGAAACTTGGAAAGAAATGGTTACAGGAGAGCAATTTCTCACCCAGTTGATTTACTATATCATAATCGTGAAAACATATAGTCCCTGTTTTGCTGTGGTAAAATAAATCTGTTGATAGACTACTTTTAATAGGGTGCCTGGATGGGATAGAGAGAGCCAAATCTATAAAAAAAAATATTGTCACGCGCCGGGGAAATCAGGAGATTCAGATTCAAATGAATATAAAGATTTATTGCAGCTTAAGCGCTCTACAAAAATCTGAGCTACTAACGGTCAAGGGAAATGAGCAGGAATTACGGCATTCAAGCTTGGCTGGATTTAGATCTTTTGTGGGCGTGCAAGGACTCATGACTGATGACACATTTGACCCCTCCCTCAAGCTGGTCATTTTCTACAAATATTCTAAATATGTTACTCTGAAACTCCTTTTTTATAAACTTGTAATCCCTTAATTATTCGGGGTAGAACTGGCGTGACTGGATGAAGCTGAGCATTTACTGACTGGATGCCCTTCCTGATGCCCTGAGAAGTTAATAGCAGATATCTTTTTCTTGGTGTTCTAGGAGAGAAATATCTGCCACCTCCTAGGATTGAACTCTCAATCTTTCGAATGGAAGGCGAGTGTCTTCACCACTAGGCCACAACCACCACCACCACCACTAAATATGCTGCTCTATTATACCTAAAAACCTAAACCTAAAATCTAATGAAACTTTGAAGAAATTTATGTACTGAAAATATATTTTAAGGAACAGCTGAAATTTGTGTGATCTTTATTTTTTTTTCTCCCCTGTTTCTCTCAGCTCCCTGTTTAGGTAGTACCTATTTCTGCCATAGCAACATGTGCATCAATAATTCCTTGGTTTGCAATGGCATTCAGAACTGTGCATATCCATGGGATGAAAATCATTGCAAAGGTGAGTAGTTACTAAAACCTTTGAATCGGTAATGAGCCAGCTTTCCGTTTTTCTTCTCAGCAGCCTAAAGACAGTTGCCATCAAGTTTCCTAACTCAAAAAGACTGTGAACTAAATTTCTTTCTTGGAACCTGAGAGGTTTGCCTGCCTAAATTTTACAAAGCAAAACGCAAGTTAAACAAATTGCAGAATTCAGCCATTCTTCGTTTTTTTCTGCTTACGGCAGTTGAAGTTTTTGACAGCTTTATATTAATTGTGATTAGCGTGATGTCTATGGAGATTTTCAGTCATCCAGTGTTCTGACCTAGGCTTCCTTAGAAAGTAAACAGCACAAACTTAGTCCTCTTTAATTCATACGGCTGTAAATTACTTTCATTTACAGTCCGCAAGGCTTGATAAACAGTCTTTCAGAGGAAGGTTATCAACACCCACCTATCTCACGTGGAACCGCTGCCAAAGAGCTAATTTCCAGATGCAAGGCAAGGCCAAACTTGGCACAGAGTCACAAACAGAAGTTTCAAATCTTGAATCGGCCAAATGAATAATTGCTTCCTGCAAAAGCTCCCGTCCCGTTCGCTTCTCTTTTATGTCTTATGGGAGGGGCCAATCATCTCCAAGCCTTACTCCCAAGTCGACCCTGTTTCCTTAATTGCTCCTGTCTCCTGGCAGCTCTGTGCATGCGCACACTGGGAACAGGTTCACGCTGTTCTTCTGCCTCGCTGATGTGAGACTACCAGATGGCCCAGGCCCCCGCTCTGCCTCCGACTCAGAGCCATCGTCCAAGCCTTCCCCAGACTCCAGGACTGGCCCATGTTCCTCCCCAACCTCCTCACTGTCCGAATCTGCTGGCTGCTGGTGGGCCACAACATCCAGGTCATGGTTGTTCCAAAGGTGCTTTTCCAAAAGGCAACTATAATTTCTTTGATTTTTTTTTTCCTTGAAGATGTTTCACTTCTCATCTGAGAAGCTTCTTCAAGTTCCGGCAGAATGGTGGAGAATTTTTCAGAACTGAAGAAGTTTCTCGGATGAGAAGTGAAACATCTTCAAGGAAAAAAAATGCTTTAAAATTTTTTTTTTTAAAAAAAGTTGGCCACACCCACCTAGTCACATTACCCCCACCAAGCCATGCCCACAGAACTGGTAGTAACAAATTTTACATTTCACCACTGAGCCAGACTGAGAATTATTTCTTATGATCCATGGGCTTTTGTTGAGTAATATATATAAATGAAAGGAATATATATATAAGATTTTTAAAAGAGAAAGTAAGTCTTCAGATTGTTACTTCCAATCTTGTGCTTATATCACTTCAAAAAGAAAGATCTTCATCTCGTATTCAAATTTAAAATAGCAATTGATTTACAAGAAATAGCCAATTTTGCGAACTTAATGCAGGTCTGTGAAGGGCATATATCATTTCTGCTACTTCCAAAAGAATTTCAACTGGCTTGGCATGACTAGCCATCAATGTGTGACATTATTATTTCTCCATTAAGTGTGTTACTGCATTCCTCACTAACTTCGCTTGGAAAATTTACCGCCATGGACAAGCAGCGCGCCTGTTTATCCATCCCGTTTACCCTCGTTTGATTAATGTACATGAAATTAAGGGCATGACAATGATTGCTTAAAAATTAAAGCCATTCTAACTGAACTTTTCAAGAAAATGTCCTCTAGCAAACCCGATGCCATCTGGATACGTTGACCTGCCTGGCTCTCTTCCATATTGAGATTCAGCTGAAACGTTGCCATTTGTGCCGTCTAATTAGAGGATGCCTTTTGCAAAAGTCTAAGCTGTGGTTTTCAATTTAACTAGCGTCCTAATTAGCTTGTACCTCAGACTTCTACACAACGAGCTGTTACACTGAGTTTGTATATATTTAGACGTAGCCCAGGCCAATGGGCTCTTGAGAATTTCCCTTTCAGAGGGACGCAAATATTGAACTCAGCGGTGTCGATGGACCTGTTGACTTCTGGTCTTCTGGTCTAGTTGCACATGGATTAAATTTTCTTGCATTTGAGCGAGCTGTCGTTGCTTGCAAAAGAGCAAACTGTAGTTGAAAAGACTAAGCATGGGGAGGAGGAGGATGTAGTGGTTGTGGGAATGATAGGAATGGGGCGAATGCCAGGGTTCCAAGTAACACCCTCAACAAAAGAAGACTCCGAGGCTTGGATTTCCTCAAAGTTCCATTTTATTAGAGATGTCATATTGGCACGAAAACCCGAATCTGAAAGCTTCCGGGTTTCCCCCACCCAGAAGAAAGTTCAAGTCCCTGCCCAGCATCCACATGTCCATCACATGATCCAAACAGGCACCATCAAAAACTGAAGATACCTCTCAGTTCCCTCCTCGCAGCTGCAGGGCACCATGGCCTTGACTCTCTGAGAAAAGAATGTTATTTTGAATATATATCACCCATGCTCTATACAATCCCCCCTCCCATTTTCCCACAGTAGAAAAATGTGGCAGGCCTGAAGGCCCAATGTAAAAGATGGCTTCCAGGTCTGACAGCAAAGAGATGCTGCCTAGGGAAGAGTCGGGTAACAGATAGCATGTTCCTCAGGTGCATAATGATCAGAGAAAGAGTCTCAAACCTTTCCATAAGCTCTCAGTCTATAAAGCTGACGGTGGGGGAATTGTACTTCCAGACTTGCAAGATTCTGTTAATGTAGCTTTACAATAAGGTAGAATTAGTTTATCTGATCAGGCTTCCTGTCTACTAGTCTATCTAGGAAGGCTTAGCTTTTGAAATCCTGGTTTTCCTGACGTACCACCATTCATTGGTCCCAAACACCAAGGACAATGCTGATAGACTTGTTCTTCAGTAGCACGTTGAGGGCCATGGATTCTTCATTCTCAGCCAAAACGTCATTCCCCTTCGAGCAGCGGAAGATAGAAATAGCAGCCCAAAGATAGAAATTAAGAATAAAATTAGTAGCTTAAAACATATTTATGTCCGCTACCGTGCCGTATGACCAAAAGGAACGTTTGACCCACAGCTCTGTAGATGTGTTTGTTAAATTCCTACAACATCTCATCTAAGCGACTCTGGACCGTTCACGACAACACAATTTCGACGCAGTTGAGTTTAGTCTTCTGTGTAACAACAGGGGGTTGCTATCTAATAATAATACACTGTGGGATTCCTCGCTCTTATAAGAGAATGTGGTTTATTAAGAAGTGTTCTCTGTGAGAAGAAATGCTTTTTCCCCACCTCTTAATTTTATTAGGAGCAAAGTTCCTTTGGTTGAGAATCTCTCCTTATGACCTAAATCAAGGCACAGTCTTTTTCTACCAGAGGATATAATAGTTCAGATTTCCTTATTTGAAGGAATGTATGTTGAAAAAATCTACACTTAGGCAGGGGTGGGCTTCAAAAATTTTAGCAAGGGGTTCTCTGCCTGGTTGCTGGGTAGGCGTGGCCATGGTGGGTGTGGCCATGTCGGCCTCCTGCACCACAGGGGAGGGGCGTTTTTGCCCTCCCTGGAATCCAGAGGCTTTCTTCGAGCCTCCGGGACGGCCTCCCCAGGCTCCAGAAAGGCCCGTTTCCGGCCTTCCAGTAGGTCCGTATTTTGCCCTACCAGAGCCTCCGCACTGCCCTGCACTTACCTGCATCCAAAATGGCCTGCGGGGGGACTCCTGGGATGGGCGGGGCCAGCCAGGAGTGGGATTTGGGGGTTCTCCGAACTGTACAGAATCTTAGCTAGAGGTTCTCCCGAACCCCCAGCAGCCCACCCCTGCACTTAGGTAGACTTTCTGATGAAAGACTGATGCAAGCTTGGCTTAACAATGTTCCTATCCCAGGTAGTCTTCAACTTACAACAGTTCATTTAATGACTGTTCAAAGTTACAGCGGCACTGGGAAAAAAATGAGTTTTTCAAATTTATGACCATGGCAGCATCCCCATGGTTACATGATCAAAATTCAGATTCTTGGCAGCCGGCTCATATTTATGACGGTTGCCATATCCCAGGGTCATGTGATGAGACCCACCGCCCTGAGTCCCTTCGGGGAGAAGGGCGGGATATAAATTTAATAAATAAATAAATAAATGTGATCACTTTTTGGGACCTTCTGACCAGCAAAGTCAAGGGAAAAGCCAGATTCACTTAACAACCATGTTACTGATTTAAACAGCTACAGCGATTCACTTTAACGACTGCGGCAAGAAAGGTCGTAAAATGGGGCACAACTCACTGAACAACTGTCTCTCTTAGCCCAGTAATTTTGGGCTCCATTGTGGTTGTAAATTGAGGATTATCGTGTTTCCCTGAAAATAAGAATGGGTTTTATATTAATTTTTGCTCCAAAAGACGCATTAGGGCTTAGTTTCTAGTTAGGTCTTATTTTGGGGGAAATACAGTACTAAATGCATCCATCTGGCTGACAATCTTAACTGGGGCTTATTTTGGGGGTAGGGCTTATATTACAAGCATCCTGAAAAATCATGCTAGGGCTTATTTTCCGGTTGAGTCTTATTTTCGGGGAAACAGGGTACAACCTGTAGTTTGTATTTGAATCCGGTCGCCGATCGTTTTAACGTCTTCACTAATCTGTTCGTTTGTCGGTCGGTTTGTTTCAGAAAAGAAGAAAACGGGATTATTCGAACAGATCACCAAAACTCACGGGACGGTCATTGGAATTACTTCAGGGATCGTCTTGGTCCTCCTCATCATTTCCATCCTGGTGCAGATCAAGCAACCTCGCAAAAAAGTCATGACCTGCAAAACCACCTTCAACAAAACCAGCTTCCAGGAAGTTTTCGACCCTCCCCACTACGAACTCTTCTCCCTGAGGGACAAAGAGATTTCCGCCGATTTGGCTGACCTCTCCGAGGAACTGGAAAACTACCAGAAAATGAGGCGCTCCTCCACCGCCTCGCGGTGCATTCACGACCATCACTGCGGCTCGCAAGCCGCCACGGCCAAGCAAAGCAGGACCAACCTGAGTTCCATGGAACTCCCTTTCCACAACGATTTCGCGCCTCCGCAGCCGATGAAAACCTTCAACAGCACCTTCAAGAAAAGCAGTTACACGTTCAAGCAGGCTCACGAATGTCCCGAGCAGGTGATCGAAGACCGAGTGATGGAGGAGATCCCTTGCGAAATCTACGTCCGGGGTCGCGAAGAGGCGGCTCAGGGTACCTTATCGATGGATTTTTAATCTCCTCGGAAAGCAGGAACCCGGGGCGTGTGAATAGATGTACATGTATAGACGAAACGAAACAAAACTTGCCGGTGTACAAAGGTGTACCATACGGGGGAATTTGATGGAGACGTAAAAATTCATACTTTTTTAAAAGCTTGTTCGGTTTTTTTTTTTCCAAGCCTGAAAGGATTCTGTAAATCTTTTTTTCTCCTTTCCTTTGGAATTATCCATCTGATGAAAGGAACAACCCAAAGTTTTGCATGGGGCTCCAGTTAGCTGACATTAAAAACACAACCAACTCAAATGTCAAAAGTCCTCTGTGATGGCCAATTGTCTCTATTGCTTCCGTTCCTTTGCCTTTCCTTCAGAACTACCGGTTTGCAGCCAGAAGTTTAATTTGTTTTTCTTAAAAAAGTGGGCGCCATACCAAGGAGTAATATTAATATTCAGTATCGATATTGAAACACGGAGCTACTCTTTGGCAAATACGATTAAGAGTGCTTGTCGTAAGTGCCACTATCTCAGACTCAACTGTCAATCACCTTGGTTTGTTTGAGACACAGGCAGTCCTCGACTTATAACCGGAAATTTTCATGGCTCAGCAATGGGGTTGTTGAATGAATGGCTCCCAGTTTTGCGACCTTTTCGTTCAGCGAAACATTGCACCTGTGTTAAGTGAAGGTCGTTGGGCAAATTATTTATTTATTAAATTATTAAATCCAGCTTTCTCCCTGGACCTTGCTTGTTAGAAGCTGGGAAGGTCATCAGTGATGATTGCATGACCCTGCAACCGTCATAAATACATGGCAGTTGCCAAGTGCCAAAATTTTGATCATGTAACTGTAGGAATACTGCAACAATCATAAATGCGAGGACCAGTTTTTCAGTTTCATTGTAATTTCAAATGGTCAGTAAATGGATGGTTGTAAGCCAAGGACCACCTGGAGCGGCCTTTTAAATGTTGTCGATTCTGCTTTTCATATTGATGCCTTTTTATTGTTCCTCTATAGCTCAGTCTTATTGTCTTCTGTGCCTGCAGTAGATTGGTCTTTCAGCTGCCTTTAGAATATAGAATAGAATATAGAATAACAGAGTTGGAAGGGACCTTGGAGGTCTTCTAGTCCAACCCCCTGCTTAAGCAGGAAACTCAATACTATTTCAAACAAAAAAGACCCTTTGTGTGTAACACTGTGCCAATGTTTTGAGGATCCGATACCAGCTGAGATATTCAGGATAAGCCTAGGTCTTATGAATACCTTCATTCTGAGAAACTCATTCACCAATGGAGCAATTTCGCGGGTTGTAGAGATCACTCCCCTCTGGCCGCTGTAGGTAACCCTGGGAGACAACCTTGAAAGAGATATATCTGGAATGCGTTTCTGTTTTTGGCTGCCATGCTGCTTTGTCAGTTTCCCAACCCCCTTGCCTATGGCAACTCGAGAGCAGGGCAGGGATGCTTTGCGAGTTGACATCTTATACGTTTCAATCATGTTTTACTAATTTTTTCAAAGTATAGATCGTTCTGAACTTAGAACACTTCATTTAAGTTACAACGGCACTGTGACTTATGACCATTTTTCACACTTACGACCATTGTAGCATCCCCATGGTCATGGGATCTAAACTCAGATGCTTGGCAACTGACTCATATTTATGACGGTTGCAGTCTACCAGGGGCACATGATCTGCTTTTGCGACCTTCTGACAAGCAAGATTGACTTAACAGCCACGTTACTAACTTAACAACGGTGGCAAGAAAGCTTGCAAAATGGGGCAAAATTCAGTTAATAAATGTCTCACTTAGCAACAGAGATTTTGGGCTGTTTTGACTATAAGTCGAGAACCACCTATAAAAAATCATAAATATCTTGGGTTTTTCTTACATTGTGTAAACCATCAGATCATTTTAGTGCATTCTTCTTCATATCTTCCAGCTCTGTTACATCCTTTTGGAAATGAAGGGATTAGAACTGCCCACAGTGTTTCAGATTAGCAATAGCAATAGCATTTAGGCTTATATGCCGCTTTACAGTGCTTTACAGCCCTCTCTAAGCGATGTACAGAGTCAGCCTATTGCCCCCAGCAATCTGGGTCCTCATTTTACCCACCTCGGAAGGATGGAAGGCAGAGTCAACCTTGAGCCTGTCGAGTTCGAGTCAACCTCAAACTGCCAAATTGCAGGCAGCCGGGAGTAGACAGAAGTAGCCTGCAGTACTGCACTCTAACCACTGCGCCACCGAGGGTCTCATGAAAATGTACCATAGATTTATATAAAAGCAGTACGCAGTGAGCAGTTTAAATTTCCTTAACAATTCTGGGCACAGCATTTGCTGTTTCAACAGCTGCCGCGGCCTGAGTAGATATCTTCATTTTGCTCTTCTGTATGATTCTGAGATCTTTGTCTTGTTCAATTTCAGACAAGCAAGACTGAAATCAGCCTACGTGTGAAATTAGGGAGTTTTTATCCCAATGGGATTCATTTTACATTTACAGATTTCAACATTAACACCCCAAATACACTTTGTTTTTCCGTCTGCCAATCCTCTTCCCAAGAGCTTTGCAACTTTTTCAGACCAAGAAACGATTTTTTAAATCTCAGAGGTCCCCAATCAAGAGGCAAAATTCCAGGAATGGAAAATGCTGCGTTGAAATTCTAATTTCCCTTTGTTTCTCAGAGACCCGTTAAAATTTCTTACGACCTCGTTTGGAAAACGGGACGTTCAGAATAAATAGCGCTTGCTTTCTAGTTATCCAGATGTTTTATTCTTCAGGTCTTTCCCTTCGTGGAGATATAAAATAAAAAATAAAAAACACCGCCAGGCAGTTTCAGTGATATTTCACTTGTTGCAAAACATTTTTTGACAGTTAATACCTGGCAACAATATCAGTCCTTTTTCAAAAGGCTTACAAGGTGATTTATGACTGTCCTTCAGCAGTCTTCAGGTTTTCTCCAAAACGTACTTGTTAAATGTCTGAGGAGATTTATAGCTCCATTTTCCTGCAGGAACTCAAGGCAGTGAATATAGTAGTACTCTCTTTCATGTTTTTTCTCACAACAATCCTGTTGGGTAGAGTAAGCTTTTGGGGGTTTGTTTGGGGGGTTTTTTTTTGCAATCATAAAGACATAAATATCTTAAACCTAATGGTTCTGTCAGGCGTGAAGAATCAGGACCACACGCTAAACTCCAATTAATCTGATTTATTGCTCACACCGATACACAAGAATCTAGTCAACAAATTGGTCAACACTAAATTGGCCCTAGACAGGGGTGCTACCAGTTTGACCGAACCAGTAGCGATGGCGGTGGGTGGTTCGGAGAACCTGTAGCGATGGCAGCGCGAGGCTCCGCCCACCCACCCGGTCGTCGTTATTTCCTGGTTTTAACCAGGAAGTAACCTGTTTTTTTACCCTCTGCGCATGCACAGATGTGTTTGCACATGCGCAGAGTGCACTTCCGAACCATTAGGGAAGGTAAGTAGATTTCGCCTCTGGCCCCTAGATCAATGGAATTGAGTAGTGCGGTGGCCTAGAGATGGAGCTCTCGCCTCACAATCAGGAAGCTGTAGGTTGGATACTAGGTAGGTAGAGGCAGATATTTCTCTCTCTGGGCATGTTGAGATTATATCTGCTGAATAAAACTCCGCATTGGCGACAGGAAGGGCATCCGACTAGTAAACACTCAGCTCCATTCAGTTGACTAGACTCCAGCCCGCAAGGGATTATGGGGTCATTAAAAGATGATGATGATGATAAAATTCAAGAGGGGCTGGATTTAAACCGTTTGTGAAACGTAATGACTCCAGGTTGATTCCTCACTTGACTCCACCTCCAAGCTCTGCCTTCTCCTACATGTTTTGAAGACATTATAGGAAAGTATATACATGGCAGAGGGCAAAGTATGTAGGGGTGGGGTGGGCAAAAAAATCATGGTGCCCACAAACATGGCAGTGAAGCTCTCCCTTCCTCTCTTTTACAAGTAAAAAGGAGAAAGGCTTCAAGTCCATCGCTATTCCAAAAAAAAAAAAAAATTGAAGACTTTACCTATTTAATTTCTTCTCAGTTCTACTCCGGTTTACCCCACTTCATTCCTTACAATTAAGGAGTGAGTAAGAACTTTGGTATAAAGGCTGAACTTAAAAACCTTACACTATTCTGCTTCTGCTCTCCAACCAGAATTTGCTGTATTTTGCTGTGACCAACACTTACCTGGCTAAGAAGACCAAAAGAAAGAAGTCTCATCTCATATTTATAATAGCAAGAGCACTTAGACTTATATACTGCTTCATAGTGCTTTACAGCCCTCTCTAAGCGGTTTACAGAGTCAGCATATTGTCCCCCAAACAATCTGGATCCTCATTTTACTGACCTCGGAAGGATGGAAGACTGAGTCAACCTTGCCCTGGTCAGGATCAAACTCCTGGCTGTGGGCAGAGTTAGTCTGCAATATGGCATTCTAACCCCTGCGTAACCATGGAAGGAAAGGAAAGGAAAGGAAAGGAAAGGAAAGGAAAGGAAAGGAAAAAAGGAGGAAAGGAAAGGAAGGAAAGGAAGGAAGGAAGGAAGGAAGGAAGGAAGGAAGGAAGGAAGGAAGGAAGGAAGGAAGGCTGAATCAACCTTAATATTTATTTTAAAAAATAATATTTTCTCAATTGTACTGGTATGGCCTCCACTTTCTCAGTTCTACTGGTATGGCCCCCACTTTTTAAACCTACCATTTATAAATCAAAGGCAGCTTGGATGCACCTTAATTTTGTATGATCTATGTGGTATTCCCCTTCAAGTATTGTGCAACCAATGGATTATCAGTGTTCATGCCAGCAACTGTAAATCACAGTGTTGTCACTCGTGAAACACACTTCTTTGCCACTCAGTCTTTAGTCTCCTGTTTCTTTCAACTTTCTTTATACTGTATGTCATTTTTTTCACTCTGTGATCTTACCACTCTGATGGGCAATGCTTTGATGGGCAATGCTTTGTACTGAGAACTGAATATAAGCCAAACTTACACCATATACGTGGATCTATTTGCAGATTGTGTTGAACTTTGCAGAAGAATATTATTTAAGTTTTTGAGTGTTAAAAAATAAAAAAAACCAGCAAGCCCCTTTAATGTAATACAAACTTCTGGATGAGCTGTATTCAGTCAGTAAACCAGGATATATATATATATAATCTGAGATTCCAAGACCAAACATGTCCCCCAAAGAAGCTTCCTAGAAATCTCCCTAAACCAGTCCGGTCTAACTGGGTGTTGGTAGTTGTGTAGAAAACAGGTTGCACAACTTCTGAAAAAGAGACATCAATCTGATAAATGAATAAGACCAACAAAGAATAACCAATAGATAAAAATATAAATGTCCTTTGACTTGACTCTGTTTTCTTGATAGTTACGCTCATGTTGTTTTCTTAAGAAAAATGGAAGTTGAATAAATTTTGCCGCCTCAGTCTAATTGACAAATGGCCTCTCTTGAAGATCTCCCCTTCATCAAGCGCCATAATAAGGTAAAGGTAAATGTTCCCCTCGCACATATGTGCTGGTCGTTCCTGACTCTAGGGGGCAGTGCTCATCTCTGTTTCAAAGCCGAAGAGCCAGCGCTGTCCAAAGACATCTCCGTGGTCATGTGGCCGGTATGACTCAATCCCAAATGGCCTGAAAACAGCCTATAAACGGCCTGAAAAACGTCCCCAAAATTCCCCCCGTTTTTTGGCCGTTTTTGGCCATTTTTCGGGCTGTTTTCAGGCCGTTTTCTGGTTCTCCTGCACCCGTGAAGACCAGCTGGCCGGCTGCACTGGAAACCAGAAGAGCAGCTGGCAACGGCGCATGTGCCCACAGAGAGGGCTCTGCATAGCACCTCTGGCATGAGTGCCATAGGTTCGCCATCACAATCTTATAGGGTTTTCTTCTCGAGCAGGGGGTTGGACTAGAAGACCTCTAAGGTCCCTTCCAGCTCTAGTCTGAATTTGAATTTGAATTCCTTTTTTTTTCCCCTGACCAAAAACGTTGCTACCCTTGAAATGTCACCCAAAGGCAAGTGGTGCATTCCCTTGCCATTCCTGAAACTGTATAGATGTCCTGCAAGCCAAAATGCAATGCAAAAAAAGGGGAAGGATGTCAGAGGGGGAAAAAAGATTCTTTGTAAGCAAACGCAAGACAAACAAGAGCCTTAAGCAAGACAAGACACGTTTGTCTTGCCGGTTTCTCGAGAAAAAAGTAAAACAAAAATGTTCTCCCTGATTCACCCCTAAAAATCTCGGACTGATCTCATCTTGAAAGGAGCTGACAAAATGCCTTCTTTGAAACTTCAAAAGGAAGACATGTGGTTTGATGCCCAATATTAAAACAGTGGAAGCGGATAGCTCCTCTCTCCCTCCCTCCCTCCCTCCCTCCCTCCCTTCCAATTTATCTAGAGAAACAGAGGCTAGGAAGGAAGGAAGGAAGGGAAGGAAGGAAGGAAGGAAGGAAAGAAGGAAGGGAAGGGAAGGGAAGGGAAGGGAAGGGAAGGGAAGGAAGGAAGGAAGGAAGGAAGGAAGGAAGGAAGGAAGGAAGGAAGAAAGAAAGAAAGAAAGAAAGAAAGAAAGAAAGAAAGAAAGAAAGAAAGAAGGAAAGAGAAAGAAAACAGGAGAAAAGATGCAGAAATAAACGTTGATGGACTTTGTAATTTGATAGAATGACAAAAGGCGAGAAAGTAGAGAAAGTAGAGAATTATCTTTGTGGCAAATAGGATTCTACCATCAGGAGAAATAATTCACCAGGGGCTATGTTCACTTCACACATTCTTAGAAGAGAATAACAGATTTGGAAGGGACCTTTGAGGTCTTCTAGTCCAACCCCCTGCTTAGGCAGGAAACCCTACACCACTTCAGACAAATGGTTATCCAAAATCTTCTTAAAAACTTCCAGTGTTTGAGCATTCACAACCTCTGGAGGCAAGTTGTTCCACTGATTAATTGTTCTCACTGTCAGGAAATTTCTCCTTAGTTCTAGGTTGCTTCTCTCTTTGATTAGTTTCCACCAGTGGTGAAATCCAAATATTTTTACTACCTGTTCTCTGGTAGGCTTGGTGGGCGGGATGTGGCTTCTTGGGCGTGGCTTCGTGGGTGTGGCAGACATCTTTGGACAGCGCTGGCTCTTCGGCTTTGAAACGGAGATGAGCACCGCCCCCTAGAGTCAGGGACAACTAGCACATATGTCCGAGGGGAACCTTTACCTTTACGTTTTTAACCATCTCTTTTCCTCTGCTGCCATATTTTTATTTGGAGAAGCACCATCCTGCTGTGGACAAATAGCAAAAAACCGAAGTGTTATTTTCTGGGCCATTAGAAACCTTTGATTCGGCTCCTTTTCCAGTCAATTTAATTAAGAAGAGAGAGTCTTAATTGCATATTATTGTGTTTATCCACCAGAGCAGACTACCGAATAGTCTGCCTTTGTGAACCCCCTAATATAATTGTGGGACATTAAGGAAATTAAACTTGCACGGAAAAACAAACCGTTTCCGAGCCGTTACAAGGAACTTGGCGGTAGTGTAAACAGCTCATTTAGTGACCGTTCAAAGTTACTAAGTTCGTCTGAAGAGGTTGTAGAAAAAATGCTTTTAAAAGCCTCTGACGATCCCAGCAGAGCCGCGCGATCATCAGAGGCTTTTTTTTTTTTTTACTTTTAAAAGCATTTTTTCAGCCGAAGAGTTTGTAGAAAAAATGTTTTTAAAAATTAAAAAAAAGCCTCTGATGATCGCGCGGCTCAGCTGGGCATTTGGGGGGGGAGGGCAGGGATTTTTGCTACCGGTTTTCCAAATCATCCGCTGCCATAGCTA